TAAGCTTGTATTGCTCTTGACGACGTGAATTACAAAATATAATGTATTGCAGTCTTTCCTGGCAGTTATGACGGTTTGAAAACGATGCAACTAAATTACATATTGTATTGCTAATATTGTCGCATAATAATATATTGTATTGCTGTCTTTGCTGACAGTTGTTAATGCTTTAAAGTAAATTAGAAAATGATGTGATTATACTCGTGTGCGATAGTAAAATATATTCGTCATTTTGTTTTGTTTAGTTTTTAGTCGTCACATATATAACTGAGCACATTGGCGGCGCTGCACTGCAACACACTCTGCAGACTATTATTACAGTCCATGCATGCATGTAAACTCTCAGTTACGTGCTTATTGTATATTGAAATACATTTTGTAATTGGGAGTTAAATTCATTTGAAAACTCTGCAAAGATTACGCACATGTGTGCGAAAGAACGCTGCTGTTTTCTATTTGTCATTGTAGTTTACCAGCCGAATTTGAAGGAGAAATCAAATTTATTTTGCCAAATAAATATAACATAATAATTACAATTAACATACACACAAACAAACAAAAAAATATTTATATAAGAATATAAAGAAATAAAGGCAAGGTAGCCCAAAATGAAACCAAGAGGCTTATTTATATTGGGCTCCTTTTACACGCAATTAAAACTGATAGATCAGTGGTCAATCACACAGAATTAAATACAAGATAGAAATACAAGAAAAAAGAAGGAAAGTAACCAATCATAAAAAATAAAAACAATCACAAATGTCAATATCACAATGTAAATAGAAAACTATTTAATTTAGAAAAGAATGACGTAATACTAGGTGCACTTCGTATGTCATTACTTAATGAATTAAAAAACTTAGGAGCTTGATAAGAAACAGAAAATTTTCTAATATTAGTTCTACAGAACGATAACTGATACAGATTAGTCGACAGCGTGAAATAATTATGAACTTGGTTTATAGGTAGAAAGAAATTGTCAAAACTTCTAGGGAGTAAGCCATTGTGATATTGATACGTGAATTTTCCAAGATGATACAAATAAATCCAATCGAACTTAAGAATTTTTAACTTAATAAAAAGCAGATCAGTATGTGCATGAAATGGTTGTTTATCGAGTATCCTAATAATGCGCTTTTGAAGTAGAGTAATACGATTAAGATTAGTGGGGTGCCCAGGGTCTGGCAAAAAGTTTTTTTGACTGCACAGTATACTATATGGATTAATACTTTTAAAAAATATATAGTAAGGATTGATTGTCCGAAGCAGTCCGAGCCAGTTTCGCGTATGAACGTGGTATGATATTGGGTCAATATCATTTGAAATGACTGTAAAGAAAGGCGAACATGGGTCGAACGGCATGTAAAATGGCTTTGGACAAACCATCCCATTGGTTCAACAAAAAATAAAATATAACATCAGGGAGATAGATGGATGGTATTAGAGAGATGTTGTGATTTTTAATGAAACATTGAATAATGACGTGACTGTGTATTGGGGCTATAGCAAACCTCACAGAGTCTTGGGTTGACCGTGCTTGTAAAGTATGTTAGCGGATAGTATATATCATATGGAAGATACAGTATATATAGTTGTGTTAATTGTGCTTTTTCATTTGTGTTAATTGTGCTTTTTCATGGGAGTTGATGTTTTGTTGGTTATTGACGAGAGTAATGGAGGTGGTGTTGTTCAAAATGGTTTGGGATATGGCATAAGTGGAGTGGTGGAGAAGTAGTGAATAGTCAACATAATAGGAAATGATAAAACAATGAAAAGATTTATGAAAAGCAATAGAATAACGAAAAAAGAGGAAAAAAGTAATAATAATCATAATAATGTAACAACTTTAATCTAACAAACTTACTGAATGAATTGTTCCGTGGTAATCCACATCTGCCAGCCATATTTTTGTTTCAAATTTGACTAGGTAGCCCTTCTTTTGTGTGTTTGTTTTTTGCTTATGCAAGAATGAGTGTTGGGGCCCTGAAGGCCGGTTTTTAGTCAGTTTTCCTGATTACTAGATGACGTCATGCGGTTTGATAGCGTGCATGTTTTGTGGGGTGTTAATTATGTGTCAGTTTGTATGTATAATTAGAGCGTGATGTGCTGTAGGCTATCTGATAACTAAGGGATGTTTAAAATTTTTTCATTAGTCACAAGTGTGAGTGCAATGTTGAGTTGTATATTGAGTTATGTGATATGCGTGGGCACGATTGCCTGTCCGCCCCCAAGGCTTACTAGTGAAAAAGGGGAACATTTCCAAATTCATTGTGGCTAGGCACATGCATCGGGGGGGGGGGGGAAAGAAAAAAAAAACAACTAAATAAACAAATAAATAAAAATAAAACCAAATATATATATATATACCGGGTGTCCCAAAAAAAAGTACTCCGGTTTGATTTATAATGACTTCTAAACAAGTAAAGCTATCAAACCGAAATAACTTGCATTAAATAGAAGAAGGACTAACTTAGATTTTGATATATTACAGTTGTATTTTACTTAAAAATTCACGGAGATATTAATGTTAAAATTCGGGAGCGTATTTTGGGATGTGTCTGAAATTAGCGAAAATCGGCATATCAAATATTAACTCCAGCGTTTGTTTGCTTAATGACATATCAGGCTATTATTAGTACTTGTATTTCAGCGAATTGTCGTTAGGGTTTGTAAGGGATATGGTGTAGATTTAGACATCTTACATGTAAGTCTTAGGTCATTGTTTCCAGAAATATGAACGTTCGAAATTATGCAAGTATTTAATAGGTCTTTACAAACCTAAAGGTGATCTACAGTCCGTATGTAAACAAAGCCTTTGTTTACATTTTTGTGTCCAAAATATTGAGCTTTATTCGACAATTATTTATATTTTCAAGCTTCTAGAGTATAATAAATGATCAAGAAACAACAATCAGGCTTTGCAAGAACCCAAAACATAGTTAAACTGTTTGTATCATAAAAAGTGGGCTCCTTTGTGCACATGCGCAGATCGGACTGTAGATCACCTTTAAAGGTATATGAAAGACCATGCATCAAGGCAGGCGCTTAAATTTTTCTTAAATAGCCTAATTTTTTTATGTTTTTCATGGGTTCAAAACGGAGTTGATTATTTCTCGGTTGGAGCAGGATGAATATTATTCTTTAATAAAGGAAATAATATTGCTTTTTGCAAATACACATCACAGTATCAACGCTACTATTTTGTTACGTTTTGTTCCAAAAATGTTGGATGTCTCTGGGGAGTTGCTTGTTATGTCTTATGGAGTTGTATGGTTTGATTGTGTTTCATTCTCAGTTTATTCTGAACTTGCCAAGATTAAGAAAAGGCAAAAGAGTTTGGGTGTTCTTAACAAGATTTCAAAACGTTGCAGAAGTTAGAAGAGCTTCACAATTCCATTGTGACAGCATGCCTTAATTCACGGAACTACGAACGATCCATGACAATCCTTCGCGATGCAGTGGTCTCATGGAATAAGGAAATGTATTCGTGCTAGGAACACATGCGGATTTCGGACGAATAAATCTTGCTTGGATTTTGTAGCTAATAATACTTTGTTTCATAATAAACAATTTGTCAAGTGTCATTTATTTATACTGGTAATAGTGCATGTTTTAGTTGGGCAAATCTTCATTAATATTTGATACGCCGTTTTTTTTTCATATTTCAGACAAATCCAGAAATATGCTCCCGATTTTAAACATTAATATCTCCGTTAATTTTTAAGTGAAATACAACTGTAATATATCAAAATCTAAGTTAGTCCTTTCTCTATTTGATGCAAATTATTTCTCTTTAAAAGCTTTACTTGTTTAGAAATTATAACGAATCAAACCGGAGTACTTTTTTATGGGACACCCGGTATATACATACACACACACACACACATATACATATACATACATATACATATACATATATATACATATATACATATACACACATACACATATACACATATATACATACTCATGTGCAAATATAATCAATATATATAGTGTACATCCCTATGTAGTAAAATAAAAAATATAGAAAGTGTGATGAGATATGACGAAACTGTAAACGTTATTCTTCATCACTTCAGCAGTACTCTTTAAAAAACAATAAACAATGAGGTACAAATTTCGTTGCATAGGCACTTTAATAATGTATGCACTTGACTGTTAATATATTTTTAACCCAAAATTAAAATTTACCTCAACAAAACCCCCTTGTTTAGTTATGTGCTCATTTAATACTTTCTGTATAAGAATACAATCCCCAGATGCATCTGTGGCATGATTTACCGAAACTTCTTCATCTGGATTTTCTTCTTGGAAAACTGCTGAAATTGGCTTATGTTCCACACAAACCCTAATCTTTTTACCTGGCAAATTCACACACCCTATATGCATGGCACAAATATACAACTGTAAATGGTAGTACAATGTTAAAAAAGGAAGCATATGGTGTATTTCATATATTACCAATAGAAACAGCACCAGGCAAATTGGAAAAATGCAATTGACCAACTGCTAGACACTGGCAAACTTGTCGAGCATTCTTCATATTGCCATCCAATACTAACACACTTCCACACCCATTCAAGTTACATTTATGACCTTAATAAATAAACAACATATACGTGTAAACAAAGTTAATAGTTGAATAGATGGTTTGGAAAGTCATTAGAAAAACAATATGACTCATTATCGATGTTAGTGAACGTTTATTCATAAATATCTTCCTTCGCCGTCACATGTTTATTGTAATTTTGCCAAATCCACCAATAGCAATTTCCAATTTACTCTATTGTTCGGGTCACAGATAGGTTATTTTCCCAAAACATTGCTATTGGTTAGTTGGCCAAAAATACAATATGCACATGACAGTGAGGGCCACATTTATGAATAAACGTTGACTAACATAGATGAGTTATAATGTTATTGTAGTGAGTTTCCAAATCATCTCTTCTATTAACTACGATGTAAGCCAATCAACTGCTGTATCCTTATATTACCAGTGTGCCTGTATGAGGCCTACTCTGGGACCTTGACTTGCCCTATCTCACAATAGAAATTGATCAAATTTTGCTTAACTCACCCAATCTCGCCTTATCTCGCAATGAGAAATTGACAGAATTTTCCTTAACTCGCCATATATCGCAATGAAAAATTGACAGAATTTTGCTTAACTCACCTGATCTTGCAATAAAAATCAGCACAGTTTCATCAGTTTAACACAATACTCACTATAAGCTATGGGTTAGGCATTGCAACTGATATCAACATATAAATTAGCCTCCTCCGCAGGCATCTTACCCAACGAATCGGGTGGTGGGAAAAAGTTTGGTGAGATGCCTGCCATAAATCGACACAAAAATTTGCACTGCGCATACCGGCTGGTGCATGCAAATTTCGACAAACGCAAACTTAGGGGGAGTGGGAAGGGCTTACAGCAAGGAGTGGAGAAATTTTTGTTTTCAACACGATGGCTTATAAAACTAAGACGAATAACTGTAAAGTTAACAAATAATACTGCTCTTTAACATTGTAAATACACAGGGAACTTTGACTAAGGAGCTGAGAATGTTTATAGCGTGAGCCGAAGCAGCGATTTACTGGGATTGTTTAGAGGCAACGACTCAACAAGTGACTTTCCAGAGCGGCAAATTCACGTTGTTGTCGATTCATGTCAAGACAGGTTGTCAATTGAACATTTATCGTTGATATATACAAATTTCCACTCAAATTGTTGACGACATTTTATATCATAATATTAAAGCTGAAATTGCAGTGATTCATTCGAAATTATAACACGAGAAGGAACGAGCGAAAATTGTCCATACATATATAAAATGTAAATTCAACTGTTGACATCTGTGATTGTGCCTTCGGTATAAGTTAAATATATAACTCTTGCCTTGTTTTAATACGCTTGTATGGAAGGAAAATCATTAATAAAAGTCTTTAAAACAAAGAGGTTTTTTTATATTGTGGAATACACTGTGCAATTTATCCCTTGGACAAAGACAAAGTTTTCAAACTTGAGTGTCTTAGGAAATGATGGCCCTGTTTTATATATGGGTGTGAGTAATACCTAGGCATATATAAGGGAATAGACATAAAGGAATAGAAAAGACAACTGGACTTTAATAGGAATCTAATAGTTTTGCAAGTGACGGTTTATGTGACATTCATCTTGCTTGCCAAAGTTCACAGGCAAAATATTTACATGGGTAAAATCCATCAATTTTGCAAGGCAAATTTCCATGTAAGTTGTAACCATACAAACAATCACCAAGGAAACTTCCCAGTGATAGCTAGTGTTTTGCTATTGTTACATTACACATAATGTAACAATAGCATGAACATATATATAAAAGATGCGGTACAGTCCGATCTGCGCATGTGCACAAAGGAGCCCTCTTTTTATTTACAAACAGTTTATTTAGGTTTCTATTTCATTTTATGTTCTTGCAAAGCTTGATTGTTGTCTCTTAATATTTATTATACTCTAAAATCATGAAAATATAAATAGTTGTTGAATAAAATCCAATATTTTGCATACCGAAATGTAAACAAAGCCTTTGTTTACATACGGACTGTACCGCATCTTTAACTGTAAGTTTACAAAAATGAATACGTTTGGTAAGCTTTAGCAGGGATGGATCTAGCATGATCTGATAGGGGGGGATGCTCTGCCAGCTCTGGTGCTGAGTTGTGTGCCGCCCGCACATCAACTTGCTTCACTACTGCAAAGTCTTGCTTGACTACTGTATTTGAATTGTAATTGTTGTTCACAGTTCGCTTATCATCATGTTATTACTCAAATTACTGTATCTCATTTTGTCTCTAATACTTTTTGCTTATCATGAAAAATAGCACCTCCTTTGCACCCCCTCTGGCC